CTATATCCAGAATATCATTTAAGATACGGAATGCCGATATAATATCATCCTGTGTTGTACAATAAGATAATAGGAGTAGGTCTAAACGTTTAGAGCACATGTCATAATAGAGTTTCGAAAGAATAGTGGCCAACTAAGTTCTCACAACCTGATCATCAAACTTCTGTCGTCAGCCGCATAAGCTACTAGTTTTATCAAGGCTATATCCTGATGACAAGAATGAGGGCTTTCGAAAGAATGCAACCGATAAAATTCCACTGGAGTCACTAATAATAAATAATAAAACTACCTACATTGGCCTCTTCGCATACTACCGTTTTCTGGAATTTCGCACCTGAAATGAGATACCAAAATAACTTTCATATGGTAGATACCGACTTGGTGTAGCGATATTAACTGTTGAGACTAATTTCAAAAAGGGCAGTGAATTTTGTACTTTTGGTGATTATACTTGCTTTTGGTACTTATTGCACTAAAAAGCATTCTTGGTCGACTTTAACTAAGAGTTCTTTGGTTAAAGTTTGAAATTTTTTGCTACATTTTGTCCTGAGTACCTGTTTTTAGTCCTTGACTAACACTTGTGTTCACATTATTATCATTTTTTGTTTTTAAACCTTTTAAATCGAATTACAATGGTTGGTAAGACTCACAAATGTGGGCAACCAAACTGTTTGTTCCCTGTGGAAGAGGGGATGCAGTGTGACGAATGCCATAAGTGGTTCCACAAAATGTGCACCCGCCTAAGTCCCACCGCATACAAAAGATGCTCGAAGCCTAACTCACATTGGCTTTGCATGTTTTTCTGTGCCAACAAGGCATTACTAATACGGGAGGCTATGAGCCTGTTGGTTTTGGCCTGTAAAAAGAAGGATGGCATATGCGCCGACAACACGGGCACTGACAGCGACGAATGTGTCAGTGTAGTACCTGCTGTTACGCGACGCCTCAAACAACCGACTCCGACTGACGTAAAAGTGGAATCTTCGTTGACATTAACAGGGGGAGTAGTACCACCTGGTACTGATATTGTTAATAATGCACCTTTAATGGGAACCGAAGATCTGGATAAAACAGTCACCGTTCCAAATAGTCCCAGTGTTATGAGGGATGAAAAATGGACTACGGTACGTAGGAAACGAAACGAAAAGAAAAAAGCTGTAAGCAGTACACAGGTAGTTAGTAACTCACTGGTGGACCCAAATTGTGAGCCACAAATTGCACTACCAAAATCTGAAGGTAAGAGTGAAACCCATCCTGGCGTGACTGAGAAGAAAAATCTAATAACATCGAATATTATTGTGAGCGAATTGCGGGAGTCAAACGACTGTGATCCGAAAATTAGACACGCGCATGACTTAGAAAAGTTAGGAGAATACATTCGTAGTATTTTACCAGAAAACTCCAAAGGAGTTCAGGTCAAAAAATTGGTAAGAATAGGCAAGAGGACCGAGGACAATGTTGAACCCCGTCCATGCAGACTCCTTAAGGTAATCCTAGGATCGGAGAAGCAACGGGATCTCTTGTTAAGTAGCGCTCGTTGTCACGACAATTCTGACATCCGAGTTAGACCTGACATGTCTCTCGAAGATAGAATAAAAAGGAAGAAAGCACTAGCTGAACTTGAAACCCGTCGGCAAAACGGCGAGGAAAATCTCCGACTAGTGGGTTTTCGGATAGTCAGGTCTTGGAAGCAAATGCTGCCAAGGCCTGTGTGGATAGGCTGTTCTACTTAGGAGTTTTATATGCCAACGCTCGTAGTTTACGAAATAAGTTCTATGAACTAGAAGCACTAGTAGACAGGTTAAAGCCACTCATAGTAGCAGTGACAGAAACTTGGTTAGTCTGTAGAATTATGGTCTACTATGATATTAGTACTGCTTTAATAATAGACCTAATCCTAAAATTGTAGATTTGTCATGACATAACTGCCTAATCTATAAGATCTTACGTGGAAGTCACACCATCGACTACACCAACTCACTGTATCGTATCAATTACCAATACATGATGTAGAACAAGGTTAGGTTAGAGAAAGAACAGTATATTTAATATGAATAGAAGATATCAGGTAACATTCAGCAGGGACCACGCCTGCATGGCCGAGCCATGCCACTCGATCAACTCCAGACCAGTCAATTCATTCTTCGCGCCTTCTCCATTCTTAGGTATTTCTCCGTGTTGAATATTGAATATCTATTTTCTGAGTAGTCTTGTGTTCAGCTTTGAAGATTGTGTGGTTATGGTCTAATGCCACTACAAGTCCATGACTTAGACATTACTCCAGAATTATCCGGATACCATTGCATCAGGAGTGATAGACATAGATGTAGGAAAGGAGGCGGCGTCCTGTTATATATAGCCAATGGCATAAATATCCGCTCCTCTACTAGCGAATCCCATGATAGCGGCACTTGTGAAGTCATTAGCTGTAAGTTGGCAATAGGATGTAGTACATTTATGCTAGGTGTCATCTATCGGAGCCCAATCTGCTTAGCTGATGACTTTGTTTTAGAGCACATTCATCTTTGGAGTGATAATACCAGGTGCTTGATAATAGGAGACTTTAACGCACCTGATATTAGTTGGACTGATATGACCACAGAAGGATCTATAAACTCCTTTGATAGTAGGTTACTGATAACAATAATGGAGCATGCACTAGTGCAGCATGTATCCCAACCCACACGTTTTGGTGTTAACCAGGGTTCTTCTCTGCTGGATTTGGTAATCACTCATGAGACTGAGGATATTGTCGACTTAAATATTCTTCCACCGTTAGTAAACAGCGATCACGCTGTTTTGTCATTCGCGTCTAGAACTAGGGACATGTTATACGATCAGGTTACACCGCGCCCAAATGTATGGAAAGCTAACATATCAGCCATTCAGGAATGCTCTGCTAAGACAGATTGGTTAGTAGATACTAGCATATCAGTTGAAGAAGCATGGTCTGTATTTAAAGGTAAATTTAGACTAGTTACGTCCCCGTTCATACCATACCTGATACCGCGAAGACCGAATAATAGTCCACCATGGATAACTAAAACGGTCGGGAAACTCCTTAGAAAAAGGAAGAATCACTGGAATATGTTCATCTCTACTGGCTTAGAACAATACAGATCCAGTTATTGTAAGATTAGGAATGCCTGTAAAGCGTTAATAAGCAAGACTAGACATTCATACGAAAAACAATTGGTTAGGGATTCTAGATATGGTCCGAAACGGTTATTCTCGTATATAAAAAGGCGAACTAAGAGAAGCGATGGAATTCCATCACTTTTGATACGAGACAATCCGTTAATCTTAGCAGAGAATGATGCCGAAAAAGCTGAAGCTTTATCGGAATATTTTAGTAAAGTGTTTTCTATCGGTAATGAGGAATGACCAATGATTCATCGTGACCGTGACGGTTCGCTGATGGATCCTGTAGTCATTGAGAAAGATACTGTTTTAAGGCTACTTCAGCATCTCAAACCTGATAAGTCCAGTGGTCCCGATGATATTCATCCTAGGATTATGAAAGCCATATCAGATGAAATTGCTGAACCATTAGCGATACTATTCGACATGTCTCTGAGACAGTCCAGACTTCCTAGAGACTGGAAAGACGCCATAATATGTCCAGTGTATAAGGCTGGGAGTAGGGATTTAGTTAGTTACTATAGACCCGTTAGCTTAACTAGTGCAGTTGTGAAACTGATGGAGAAAATCATTCGGATAGCTGTTATAAACTATGTTGAAGGGCAAAATCTTTTCTCCAGGGCACAACATGGTTTTCGGAAAGGCCTGTCTTGCTTGACAAATCTTCTCATTGCACGAGAAGAGTGGGCTGCGGCAAAGGATCGGAATGCTCCTGTGGATGTAATTTTCATAGATCTAAGTAAAGCCTTTGATAAGGTTTCACACTCTGGTCTTAAATTCAAACTGGAACGTTTTGGAATCCATAACACAGTCGTCGATTGGATAAGTAACTTTCTCCATGACAGGAGACAAAGGGTGAGAGTTAGTGGGGCTCTCTCCTCGTGGGTACCTGTAAAAAGTGGGGTTCCCCAAGGTACAATCTTAGGTCCTCTTCTCTTTTTACTTTATGTAAATGAATTGTCAACTGTAGCAAAATCATCCGTTTTACTCTTCGCTGATGACATAAAGATTTGGAGACCCATACATAGTATGTCGGATAGAATAGTATTACAGGACGATCTTAGCTCATTGGTGGCATGGTTAGACAGGTGGTCACTAGAAGTAAATCCTAATAAGAGTGTAGTGATGCAGTTAAATAACTCTGATGAATCGTATGACTATACACTACGTGGATTCGTGCTACCCAAAGCAAGAAACTATAAAGACTTAGGAGTTATATTAGGCAATGATCTTAAAACGACTAGTCACTGTAAGGCTGCTGCTGCAAAAGGCTATAGGGTATTATGGTCAATTCGTAGGTCTTTTCAGTATTTAGATGATGAAATGTTTGGATTACTATACCCGATTTATGTGCGACCACATTTAGAATACGGGATTCAAGCAGCGAGTCCTTGTTTCAAATATGAAGCAGACATGCTAGAAAGAGTCCAACGACGAGCTACTAAGATGGTACAAGGTCTAGCTGGCCTATCTTATGAAGACAGACTGAGACACCTTAACTTATTTCCGTTATCTTACCGTAGAGTACGGGGTGATCTAATATTGGCTTATCGTATACTGAACGATGACCTTGGTATTAACATGTCTTATCTTTTTCTTCCGTCTAGGACTGATCATTTGAGAGGACATTCGAAGAAAGTTCAAAAACCGAGATCAAACCGTTTACGTCTGGAGTTCCGTTTCTCGCACCGAGTAGTGAATTACTGGAATTCCCTACCGGAACAGGTAATATCAGCACCGTCTGTTAATATATTCAAAACGAGATTGGACCTCCACAGTATTACAAACTGCAAGGATTAATATAGGTCGACAGACCTCCTATCCTTATTACTGAAGACTGAAGACTGAGACAGAAATCCGAACTTGGACGCTACGTTTCAAGGTCTAAAGCTATGATGTTTTAGTGGTGATTACAATGTCTTCTGTCATCGTACGGTTTTTAATTGTATTATAATGACGTGTTTTAGTTGCGGCTGAGGCATCTCCGAGCTGTATATGGACGAAATTTTAGTGTTTCTGATGAAGAGTCCAGTGAAACTGTAGGAGTGACTTTCGCCCTAAGTTCCGTTAATCAAGATAACATTGGATGTAAGATATTTTTCTAAAAGGAATCTTATTTGCAGACTACTACGTCAGTGATGTTGCCTGTGATCTCAAAGTAGCGTATCTTTTCTCAGCAACATGTTTTTCAGAATCCAGAATGGGATCCCGTTGAAATTCATAATCTTCCTAAACAATACTTATCATCCAAAGGTTTGGAATTGATTTCTGAAATATCAGTACCAGCCGTCTTGTTTACTTTTTTTCTATCACATAGAGAAAGCAACTCAATTCTGTTTGAGATTGTAGTACATTTTTCCGGCCTCGTTCCTACAAACTCAGAAGTACGCAATAATTTATCTAATTGTTTTTTAGATGCGTGAAAGTATGTGTTTCTCTGACTCAACAGATCAGGTTTACTTCCAAATGGGAAGACACATTTATTCTTTCCGCAAACACTTCGACCCAGGCATAATCTGTCCTAATCTGGTAGCATCGTTATTAAATAATTGGTTTCTAGTGGCCTAAAGGTAAACCCCTTCCTGCCTCCAAGTTATCTTACGACCTTACCACGCTTCAAAGGTAATTTTTTGGTCGTAAATGCTAATAATGATTTCAGGTTTTTAGCCAACAAGGAGGCTTCTAAGGTTCAGTTAGAACGTATCAGATACATGCAAAATCTTGCTGGTGGTTTGAAATCTTCACTACATAATTTATTTAGTCAAGTAAGTGTCTTTGTTTTTGTAGCGATCTAGTTCATCGATGAGTCAGATCTTTGGAAGTAGTTTGGCCCCACCTAGCAATTTCGTGTTGTGCCTAAAATTCGGCTTGCTTCTAATTAGGATTGGAATGCTGTTATCATCGAATTGCCTTTGTACTAATTTTATACATTTAGATTCAATCATGTTCTGCACATATGCCTTTCTAACATGTGATTTTTTTATTTTCAACATCCTTATAGATAAGTTGGTTCCAACCACCGTAGTCCAATAGCTCAGTGAAGAATGTTTTCTACAAAACAATTTGAAAGTGACTAGAATTCACTTCCTATTAATAATTCTATATTTCGGGAATCATTTATGCAGTTATTGAGTGTACGCTTGCTATTAATGCATTAAATTTCAGATGAATAATTTTCTTAACGTAGAGCCTATTTCCCAATACAGTTGGTTGTGTAACTAATATCATATCCAAGCGACGTATGTACAAATTAAATAAATATCCATTTATGCCAAATTAGCTAAACAAATATGCGTTTACTTTTGGAAATTAGTTTCCGACTCTTGTAAGTTGCTGTATTTTGTCAAGCAAAAAAAGAGTAAAAATATATTATCAATAATTGAAATTAGTGGTTCTTCATAACTATCAAAGTTCAACTTAGTGACTTAGGTGTATTAATAAAAGGCTCTACGAAATATGTTGCTGGTTTTCATTTTTCGGAGAATGGTGGTGGGAATAGCCTAAGTCACGTGGTTTGAATGGAGTCTCTTATCACTGCCTAGCTCCCAGTGGTCATCAAAATCACCTGTTTGTCATGAAAATCACCTTCGAAATGTTAAGTAAAAAACAAGGCAAATGCATATCAGATCCCATTTATTTCTCGGGATTAGAAGTGTTAATAAACCAACGTCATTTGACTGTTACTGGTTTTTATTTCTATCCCTCACAGCATTACGCTGTCCCAAGTAGTTCTGTATAGATTGAAATTTATGGTCAAAATTGTGGTAAAGCATTAATCTTCTTAACCAGTTTCTACCGGTTTATTCGAAATTTTAAGGGTGTAGCTACTGAAAGATTAGCTATTGCAATGGACTCTGTCAAGCAACGCACGGAAACACTCAAATACTCAATATCATTAGCACGCAATAAACTACACGCACTGGAGAGCAGAAAAGTTTCTCTAGGCAAGTTTTAACTATTAACATTTTCTCAGTTTTTAAAATTTCACATTGTTATTTTTTAAAGGGATGCATGTTTTTTTACCACTCAACCACATTGTTTCCTTGAAAAGATCAGTATAATTTTAAACTCTAGAATAAATGGTTCAAAACCGGCCAAACCATTTAAAAGTTGGTTTTAACACGTATATGTATGTTGTCATCAAATAGTAGTATCTAGACATAGTAATGTAAGATCTGTCGCGTTTTTTTATCGCTTCAAGTGACTTCAACTCGAGCAAGAACAAAAAGTGTCAAGAGTAAAGGTAATAAAGGATATTAAAAATGCAGTATCAGTAAAGACCTAAGAGAATGGAAACAGTTTTAGACCTCTGTTTCAATTGATATCAAATCCTTTTCTTTGCTTCTCTTTCTTGGGATACTGATAAAATAGGCCTATTCAGATTGGTTGAATTTATTATTGATCCTACTTTTGTGGCTTACGTAAAAATTGAAGGTCATAAGAAACTGATGTCCAGGACTTCCAAAAAGTATGATACCATTTACATATTGGTACGACGTGTTGGAAAATATATCTTCCACCGCGATGATTTAGTTTAAATATTGGAGTAGTTAGCTTTTCAGTAAGTCTTTATAAAAATCATGAACATAAACAATTAGCCAGTCAAAACAAATATAAGAAAAGAAGGTTCATGGAAATTCTTGGAAATCGGTGACAGAAGTTTAAACAGGTCTCGTCTTTATCGTAACAATTGATTGGAGACGTTGGGTGACCTAGCTCAGATGCACTCACTAATTATCTTCTTTTAGTTCCTGAATCCCAAAATAATTTCACATATTTTTACCCTAACTAAATTTTTATTTTCACGTCATACTCTCTATGCCTAATCTTTTTTTAATCTATGGTGCTTCTACTCTTACTTAGGTTTGCATCTTGATAATTTCACTTTACTGCAATAATATGTCGCGACTTGGATCGTTGCATTAATATGATAGGTTCTACGTTGCTGTGATAGCCTTATAATGAAGCATTTGTGCAACAATTGCTGCTTATACATTTAGTGTAGTGGTCTGTTTTTCATTTCATCACAATTTTAAGTACGTATGACAGCTTCACTATGAAGTCCATTTTCATCACTGTTAACGTGTTATTCCAATTAAATAAGTGAATAGGTGGAAATCAATGAAACGTTTAACCATCATATGGTTAAACTATGATCAGTTTATTAAAATGTTTAAAATGATAAATATTGAGTCTCTGACTACCATGAATGCTGTTGTATTCATTGTCTATTCACAGATCTTATGCAACGAAATTTGCTGCACAATCGAAAATGCGACTTTTACGCAACGTATATGCTCTTTTATGGGCTTCTTTAAAAAAACCACTTTATTTTTCTATATTAGTATTTGCCTACTTTCTCTCAATAAAGTAGTAGTAGAGCTCACAACACAGAATAGCACCCATCATTATAAGAAACTTTTTCCAAAGACTAAAATTTGTTTTCATTGACATTTCGCTTTTTAGTGCTGATAATTTTATTAACGTAACGGTGAACCAGAACTTACAAGATAATCAGCTTATGTTTGATAACTCAATCAAAGTTCTTCTAGATAAGTTAATTTCGAGATATCGAGTTAACAAATTGATAACAATAACAGACAGGTGTAGATTGTCACATTTGATAATAGTTTGAATCGTAAAAATAACGTGTTTTTATGATAAACAACTTTTATTATCAAGTTTGTGTTGACAGTGTTAGTTTGAGGAAGGGTGGTGCTGTTGGAACCAAGCAAAATTCGTCTCCGCCCCTCATTTTTGTTATGAGATATTCTTTGTGATCTTAAAAGTCTTTCTAAATAATTTCAAAATTATCAGAGTCAATTTTGTGGCTTAATATTATAGTGACTAGACCTACGTCTGAAGATCTTCCAAATTTTCTAAGCTGTATCGAATTTCTTAGTAGTTGAACAGAATCTGTGCGATGCTCATTTCTCCTGACTTTGATTTCCATAAAATGTTGTCCGATTTATATTCCGTAACAATGTGGGTATTTTATCTTGTAGACACAAATAGATTTTGAATCGTTCAGTATTTTATCCTTTATATAAACTAAGTTTCTTTGTAGTGTTTCAGAGATTCCAGATAATAATCTGATATTGTATTTGTTGAATACTCTTTTAATCTCATTTGATATATGTAATCCATAAAGAGTCACGATTATTGTAGTCCATGATTTTGGAGTGCTTTTTCGGTCGCGTTAAATATTATTCTCTATTTTGTGGACAAAATTTCTCGGTTAGGTATTTCTGTTTTTAAAAATTATAGTTATGTTCCCCTTTCTTCTTCGTTTGTTATCGATGTGCGAGCTCTTCTCAAAATACTGACGACAGCTAATACCGTTGCACTGCTGATGGAGTGTGAGAAATTAAAATCTAAATATTTAATCGAATGTGTTGTCCTCCTGAAAATAGTCATATCAAAATATTCATTTTCTTTCCAACTAAGTAGACAGTCTAGAAAAATTAATATATCTCAGTCTGCTTCTAAAGTAAATTTAATACTGGGTGATTCATTGTTTAGTTTCTCCAAAAATGAGTAGTATATTTCACGTTTTAATACCACGAATATATCATCAACGTATTCTCGCCAAATTTTTATTTGAGTACGTTTAAGAAGATATTTTCGCAGCTGTTCATGGACAGATTTGCTTGTTTTCGATTTTCATTTTCCTCATCCCGTTTCGTCAAATTCATATTATCTTGTGGCTATGAATTGTGATAATTTAGATTAATGCTCAGTTAATTTGTATCTTTATCTACTCTCGATGATACATAATTGATTGTCAAGTTAATATATAACTTACAGTATTTTAACAGAGTAACTCTACATACTTTTAAGATCTTATTTGATCGAGAAATGAAGATATTATTATCTTCTGAGTAATATGTAACTTGTTAATATTTGTTTACAGAACAGGAATTCCTAAACATAAATGGAAATAAAGCAGCAATCAATAGCCGGTTGAAAGTTTTAAAACAATCTTTAAACGATGGATAGTAAGTATTATCATTATTATTGGCGTGTCCACTTATTTACGTCGTTGTATTTGTTTAATCATTCTGTCATCTTTTTTGTATAAACTATTTTACCGAGAAATTTAGAAATATTGTAAATCTTAGTATTAAGCCTCACAGAAAATTTCATATAGAACTCTGGATCTTGAACCTTTACTATTTAATTCTCAACAGCAGCTTTCAATTACAGTTCACTCAAATGAAGGAGTCTCTGTCTAAACTCCTGACTACAGTTCCTATGAAGTAAAAGATGGGTTTTATAGAAAATTCTTTGCTCTCCTTTCAAAAGTCAAATGGTCAGATATTATTGTAGCAGTGTATTAAAATACCCAAATATATAGTGTAGACCAAAATGAAAGACTCTTGTGCTAATCTTAGTGTCTCAGCTCTCCGATAACTACTCTCAGATAATGGCTTATTCTTAGTAAGCATCAACTTATTGAAATGTGTATCCTATCCACTTCCAGCGTTCTCTCCCACAGTAGGCTGTTGCTGATGGTATCCGGCCAACGGAAATTCATTATCCTCCCTAGACAATTGTTTAGAAATGCTTGTACCTTTTTTATGGCGGTTGTGGAAGTTCTCCAAGTTTCAACTCCGTACAGTAAAACTGTGTTGACGTTTGTATTGAAGATTTTGACCTTGATATTGGTTGACAGGTGTTTTGAGTTCCATATGTTCTTCAACAATAGGAACGCGACCCTTGTTTTTCCGATTTTTACCTTTACGTTTGCATCAAATCCTCCTTGTTTATCAATGATGCTTCTCAGGTACGTGGAAGCTTCCATTTTCATAAAGTAAGATGGATTGGTGTTCTCGGTGTTGTATTTGAGGATCTTGCTTTTTCCCATGTGTATGTTAAAGCCTACTGCCGCTACACTAGTTGTCTTCATCTGCATTTGGTGGTGTGTATGGAATAGAAGAGCTGGGTCATCTGCGCAGTCGGGATCGTCTAGCTTCATCTAAGTTGTTCATTGTATTCCGTGCTTCCCCGTAGATATGGAGGTCTTCATAATCCAATCGACCACCAGGAGAAATAGAAAGAGAGAAGGCGATCAGCCTTGTCTGACACCGCTTGCAATGCAACTGTCAGTTGTTCTCCATGTACCATTTTGCAGTGTAGTCCGTCGTATAAATTCTGGTTGATGTTGACAATTTTCTCAGGTACTCCATAGTGTCGAGGAAGTTCTGTAGTGACTGTGCTTCGATAACTAATCACCCTCGAACCGTTATCGTATAATCTTCAACGATGTTTGAAATCAGAAGGCAAAAAGAAGTAGCTACTACAGTTTATTTAGCAGATAATTCGGACCAGACAGCAGAGGCAAAATGGATGGGCAAGCGAACCACGACCGTAGCAGTAGCAGTAACGAGTAGTTGTAGTGAATGGGTGCAAATATATATATATATATATATATATATATATATATATATATATATATATATATTAGGAAAATGGATGAGTCAGCGAATAGATTAAGCAGTTAATAATAAAGCTAGCAGAATGAATACATGCGTAGGCGCTAACAATGTTCAAGCATATGTATTTCATACAAGCACAATAATAATAACAGTACAACAAGTTGTTATAGCATGGATGGCTTTGTCCATTAAATAGGTCAACAAAAGACCTTGACTGAACTATACTCAATTGCACGTGAGTCGCTATAGTTTCCATAATGTTCTATCCACATTGTCAAACGCTTTCTCATAGTCAAGGATGTTGATGTATAATGATGAGTTGCATTCAGTTGATTGCTCAACAATGATCCGTAGTGTTACTATCCGGTCTGTGCACTCCACCTGTAGCTCTTCTAGGTTTACTACCAGTTTCCAGGCCGGATGAATGAGGAGGGTTTTGTATCAAATCGGCAACCCTATCCCACTGAAAACAATCTTGCTAACCAGAGAAAACAATTTAAACTCTACCCTTGGAGTCGATTGATCTTTATTTAGAAAAATTATGATGCCTCATGGTGAAAGCCGAGATTCTTTAGAAGTCGTAAGGCCGATTCCTTTCTAACAACCAGAGCAACAATTAATACAGGTACACGGAATGTCCGTAAAATGCGGGTGACCAGGTGGACCAATCTTATATATGTATATACCTGTTTTTCAGTTTAAAAGATTGATCCGTTGAAATAAAATTGCTAAATCCATGTGCTTACCGTCAATAAAAATGAAAGAATTGCAACAATTTGCATGTCAGTTGTGTAAGTTTAGTCAATAAGATATTTCAATGAATGAGTTTATTGGTGAAGAAAAAACTATTATAAGCTGAAAAAATTATTCAATCTTTAGTTCAAAAATTTAGCGTTCTAAAACGCTCTATTTCTCAGAAATATGATTTAATTCAATCTAAATGAGTGCTTTTTTAATTGCCATTTTAAATTATTAAACGGCTCACGTGTAGTTGAATTTGACACTCCAAGGCTGTTGACACTAACGTGTATTTCTCAAGTATGTGTCAGAAACTTTTATGGATATCCATATTTTCTTCACTTTATCGTTGTTGGTTGGATTGGTAATGAAACTTCTGCTTTCTTTGGTGGACTCAAGGTTTAGGCCTGGGTCAAAGAAGTATTTAGGGTATAATATAGGCATCTTTATTTGTAATGTAAATATTTCGAGCAATAATACTCGGTCAGATATATTAATTTCATAAGTAAAATGTGTAAGTTCAATTCTAAAAATACAAATATAAATATAAAGTTTAACAATAAACTTACCAAATACTATTCAGAGATGATAAGCCAGTTTTCAAGTCAAAATTAACCCGTAAGTTGTTTAATATACTTAAAAAATGTAGCATTACATTATTGTCGAGCATACCTGTTACCACTTTAATATGTATAAATAAACTGAAATACTGATTTAAATTTTTAGTTTATGGAAACTGAATTGCGAACTAAAGAAGATCATTCATGAAATTGTTTCCTGACCTTGATTCTGCTTGAGTTTCTTTTCATTTGTATACTGGATATAAATAGACACTGAAATCTAAATATTTGATCTGTTGAATTACCTGTACAGATTATAGAGAATATCTTGTTGGGAGTATGTTTTTTTTTGTTTAGAATGTAACGTTTTTAGAAACCAATCAACAAGAGTCGTGGGTAGTCAGATCATTAAAATTATCTATAGGATTTATTATCTTTAAGTTGTAAATTAGCTTACTCCCCAACTAAATTTTCACACTGTGTCTTTCATTTTTACCGATACTAAATATTTCCTCTGTTTATTGGTTTCCTGATGTTTTAATATTTTACTTTGTTGACCTGGGGGAGATCGTAAATATATTTATAAACAACGGCTACTTCTCCTAGTCAAATTTTCGCTGAATCCAACATATATCTTGTAGTCGGAAATTGACTTTCCTTATGTTTTAGGTAAAGGTGAAAAGTAGGAGAAATGATTGACTTTATCTATTACCAAAGTAGTCAATGCTGGTAATAGTTTTTCCCAACTATCAAAACAAATAATCAGGGACACTTTTAAGTCTATACAACACTTTGAAGTTGCTTTTTGTTGTTCTATTCACAGGATTTCCTAAATGTCATTGTCATCGTAATTTATTTATTGTTAATACTACTGATTTTTAAGGTCAGCTAAACCAGTCGTACTTACTTACTTACTTACGCCTGTTACTCCCAATGGAGCATAGGCCGCCGACTAGCATTCTCCAAATCACTCTTTCCTGGGCCATCTTTTATAGTTCCACTCAATTCTTGTTCGTTTTTCTCGTATCTATCTCCATTTCTCGGTGTAATGTGTTCTTTGGCCTTCCTCTTTTCCTTTGACCTTCAGGATTCCATGTGAGGGCTTGTCTTGCGACGCAGTTGGGTGCTTTCCTCAATGTGTGTCCTATCCACTTCCAGCACTTCTTCCTGATTTCTCCCTCCACTGGGATCTGGTTTGTTCTTTCCCACAGTACGTTGTTGCTAATAGTGTCCGGCCAATGGATCTGAAGTATTTTGCGTAGACAATTGTTAATAAACACCTGTATTTTCTGGATGATGGCTTTCGTAGTTCTCCAGGTTTCTGCCCCATACAGTAGAACTGTCTTGACATTTGTATTGAAAATTCTGACCTTGGTGTTGGTTGACAGTTGTTTTGAGTTCCAGATGTCCTTCAATTGTAGTTATACTGCTCTTGCTTTGCTAATCCACGCCTTCACATCTGCATCAGATCCACCGAGTTCGTCAATGATGCTGCCCAAATATGTAAACATTTTTACATCTTCCAAATCTTCTCCATCAATTGTGATTGGATTGGTGCATGCTGTGTTGTATCGGAGAGCCTTGCTTTTCCCTTTGTGTATATTAAGACCTACTGCTGCTGAGGCTGCTGCTACACTGTTCGTCTTCTCCTGCATTTGTTGTTGTGTGTGCGATAGAAGAGCCAGATCATCTGCGAAGTCTAGATCGTTCAACTGCGTCCTAGATGTCCACTGTATCCCGTGCTTCCCTTCAGATGTTGACGTCTTCATGATCCAGTCGATCACCAGGAGAAAGAGGAAGGGTGAGAGTAAGCAACCTTGCCTGACACCAGTCTTCACTTCGAACGACTTTGTTAATTGTCCTCCATGCACAATTTTGCAATTTAATCCATCATATGAGTTCTGTATGATATTGACTATCTTCTGAGGCACGCCGTAGTGTCGAAGAAGTTTCCATAGTGTTGTTCTGTCCACGTTATCAAATGCCTTTTCGTAATCAATGACGTTGATGTAGAGCGATGAATTCCATTCAATTGATTGTTCCACAATGATCCGTAGAGTTGCGATTTGGTCTGTACACGATCTATCCTTACGGAATCCTGCCTGTTGGTCACGAAGTTGAGCGTCTACGCAGTCCTTCATCCTGTTTAACAATACCCTGTTGAAGACTTTCCCCGGTATTGAGAGAAGAGTGATGCCCATGTAGTTATCACACTTGCTGAGATCGCCTTTCTTCGGAATTTTGATCAGGAGTCCTTCTTTCCAGTCTTTTGGTACTTGTTCTTCATCCCAAATCTTATTGAAGAGAATGTGGAGCATCCTTGCAGTTGCCGCTACGTCTGCTTTTAGTGCCTCTGCTGGAATGTTGTCTGGTCCTGCTGCTTTGCCACTCTTGATTTGTCTGATGGCCATGCTGATTTCTTCAATTGTTGGTGGGCCAACATTGATTGGGAGGTCCGCGGCTGCCGCCTCGATGTCGAGCGGATTCAGTAAAGCTGGTCGATTTAAGAGTTCTTTGAACTGTTCTACCCACCTGTTTTGTTGCTCTTCAATGTTGGTGATTATCTCGCCTTCCTTGCTTTTCACTGGTCGTTCTGGTTTGCGGCGATTTTCAGAGAGTTTCTTTGTCGTGTCATACAGTTGTCTCATGTTTCGTTCTCTTGCAGCCTTTTCCGCCGTCGTTGCTAGATCTTCCACACATTTACGTTTGCCGGTTCTGATGCTCCTCTTCAATTACTTGTTTACTTCTGTGTATTCAGCTCATGCCTTGGCTTTTTCTGCTCTTGTTCGACTGATATTGATTGCTGCTTTCTTGTTCCTCCTTTCTTGAATCTTATCCAGTGTATCAACAGTGATCCATTCCTTGTGATGGTGCTTCTTGTGACACAGGACCTCATGACGTGTTGAAGTGATTGCCTCTTTGATCCCCTTCCAGTTGCTCTCCATAGTAGTTCCTTCTCCATAGAGTAGACCATGAAAGGCCTGGAACTTATTGCTGAGGACTATCTTGAATTTAATGAGTTTGTCAGTATCCTGAAGAAAGGCCGTATTGAAATTTTGTGATATTGTCCGCCCCGTTGTCCAGTGCTTCTTGAGCTTCAATTTCATCTTGGCAACCAGCAAGTGATGATCTGAGGCTATATAAGCTCCTCTCTTGGTTCTCACGTCCTCCATCGTCCTCCTGAACTTTCTGTTGGTGCAGATATGGTCGATTTGGTTTCGAGTAGTGTGATTCGGTCAAGTGCATGTGGTTTTGTGTATGCGTTTAGGTGGGAATATAGTGTTGCCAGTGACCAGTTTATTAAAAGCACATAGGTTTGTAAATCTCTCACCATTATCGTCCCTTTCTCCTAATCCATATCGTCCCATGACGTCTTCATATCCAGTGTTGTCCGTTCCAACCTTGGCATTTAAATCTCCCATCAGAATGGTCAGGTCCTTTGTTGGGCACTTCTCGATGATTGACTGCAGCCTATTGTAGAATTGATCTTTAGCGTCTTCATTGTAGTCGTTGGTAGGCACATAGCATTGGATGATGTTCATTGAAATACCCTCTTTTTTTGTTTTGAGCAAGGCTTTGATGATCCTTGGTCCATGAGATTCCCATCCTATAAGTGCATTTTGTGCTTGTTTGGACAGCATCAATGCAACTCCTTGTGTATGTGGTGCATTTTCTTCTTCGTGGCCGGAGTATAACAGGAACTCTCCTGTAGTTAGTCGTTGTTGTCCAACTTGTGTCCAATGTGTTTCACTGATCCCAAGTACCTCTAGGTTTTATCTTCTCATTTCTGCAGCAATTTGGAAGGCTCTTCCGGTGTCCCACATTGTACGAACATTCCATGTACCTAAATAAATGTTCGCTCTGGTTGTCAGTAGGGGCATCGGCCTCGTAACTTCCGAAAGAATTCGGCTTTCATCATGAGGCGTCATAATTCTTCTAAATGAAGACCTTCTGACTCCCAGGGTAGAGTTTAAAAGGTTTGAATAATTTTTTCTGGTTAGCGTGTTTTTAGCGAGTTAGTTTTCTACGGGATGGGGACGCTAACCCCATGCCCAACCCTCCTCCTTTATCCGGGCTTGGGACCGGCAGTAGCCCCCGGAGGGACTCCAGGCGGAGTTAAACCAGTCGTACTGAAAGTAAAACCTGGAGTATTTGTGTATCGGTTTAAGTTGCCACACTATATCAGCATAGCCAGAAAGCAGAGTAGTATAAGTAATCACAGTATTAGTGGTAGTAACTAAGAGTGGACATAAATGATATTATTTGAGAAAATAAGAATTCATGAAATAAAAAGTATAAGATCTAATGGAATAAACAATCAAGATCGACTTCTACAGGACAAGCGGTGAGTCATATACGGAGAAATTCAAACACTTCACTTCTGCCTGAAGCTTGTGCTGATGGTGTCGTTCAGAATAACGATAGAAGCTCCACGACCAGCTCAGAGAACAAAACCCCACAAAAAACTAATGGGATACAAAAAATCAATACATCTGAAGCATTGTGACCAGTTCTGAACTATGTCATCCAACATCTTCAATCATTAATCCCAACAACTACAAAGATCCCAATCAGGTAGTCTGCATCTACTAACGCGTGCTCATTTCAACTGACAATAACATCATGGACTGATATCACTTTTTTTAACTAACCTCCCTGGATTTCTAAGATATTTATTTATATACTATTATCGATTTGTTTTCCTTGACGCGTGTCTCTCTTTTTTCACAGTAATGACCTCAGCAAAACACGTTACGCACTGTTGACTCGTATTCTTCATTTATTAAATGAAGTTTATGGTCTTTTTACCAATGATTTAATAAATCCAATGTGCAACATTGGTGAAGAAATTAACTCAAACGGTATTATAGTAAGCCATTATAATAATTATTATTATTGTCATTGTGTCATATGAAATGAACGTAAGTTATCAGAGTCTATGATTCAGTTTATTATACCATGTGAACACTTTAGGCACTACTTACATACAACACATGTGTAGTTCAATAATAAATATGGATATATGCAGCATATTCCAATTATCGTTCAGTGAACCTATTTACATAATCTCATCAACAAAATCGCCTACCTTTGCCTGTTTAAAGCTTTAAGCCCTACATAAAAACTCTTCACTAAGATATTCCCTCGCATTTCTAAGAAAAGCATCTGACAAACTCCTTCGATCAAATTTGTTTAGTATTCTTATGTCTACTTTCAACAAATGTAACGTTTATCTTAGTGAACTGGTAATAGCCATACTGATTCATTGATGAGGTTTCTCACATCTCGCTGATACCACATAGTTTGTGCTTAGTTGGTAATTTTGTTTATTGTCCTCTAATATAGCTTTTCAGCAGTCACGAATGACCATCTTAAAAAATAAACTGGATATGTTATGAAAAACACACTTATATAAATCGGAATTGAGACTATCGATTCTTAGGTAATTTGTTCCATCTTTTACTTCTGAAGGTGGTGTAGCGATGCAAATGTTAAGGGGTTTGACTTCTAGTCACTAAATCTCAGGTGCGAACTCCGCCCCAACTAATCCTGTTTGAGGGACCGAGTAATATAACTAGCTCTTATACACATAATGTGGCTCGAACTTTGGTGTACAAATCCGTATACATGGTAAATGAGTTGAAGGAAATAGAAACTACTCTTGAAACCGGTGTAAATAAACCATTAGGTGATTAGTTAAAGAAATCATAAAATATTTTACCATTGCCTCTAGCCACGTGTATCTTATTTCTTTATCATAAGAAGAGTATTCCTAGTCAACTAGACTGTTCAACATAATGGTTGTTGGATAAACGATCCAAATAAGCAGACGACACAAGTTCATGGAAAATTTGCTTACGCGTATATAAGATTCTCCACTTTAACAAGTAACAAACTACTTAACAAATAATTAAAAGTTTTCATAACACCATTCCATCAATTGAAACTCCTACTATCATACAATATGACTTAAAAGAAATGTAGAGAAAAATATATCTTTAGAAATCATTTCGACAAAATAATTGTTTAAAAACTTGGGCGAAATGCATTTGTTCTAATATTTAAAAATATGACTGAAAGACAACTTTGATATATCTGGGGTCACGAATTTAGCTTGATAGTCAGCTTTTAGTTTATTAACACTTGTTAATCGACCTACGAAATTCGAATCTAACATTCACCCACGTTTTAACTAACTTATAACCATGTTAATTTCTGTGTTTAGTATTTAGCATATGTTATAACTTGTGGACCTGTGTGCCCCGTTTATTGTATATCGCAACGATACCGCCAATCAGAGAGCAACGAATTATCGATCGAACCAGTGACGTACAAAACACGTACGAGCAACCTGGAGTCCTTATTGGTCTCGCTTTCCGCCTAGCCCAGCCAGTTGAGTACAGAACAAAAATCTCAACTTTTTCAATATAAATCATTTATTTCAAACATACAGGGTTTATACACCAATCAAACAGACCACAACGTACCATAAAATAGAAAATAACATTTGTACAATATTTAGCCAGAAGTGGCTGTAAATGAGGGAGGTGGTGATTAACAGACAGACCATAACTCAAGAATGGTAAATCGTATAACAACAGTTCATAGGTCGAAATAAAACTCATAATAAGAGGGTCATGAATATGAACAGTTTGGTTACATAACAATTACACGATAAAAATATACTCATAGTATTGGCCCATAAATGTGAAGCGTGGAGTCGAGTCGCGGTTGACTATGAACACCACTACAAGAAGACTACGTGCCAGTTAACTGATAGAATCCCCCGTAAGCCAAATATCAGAAGGCAGTTGATGGCTGTAGTCAAGATGTATTTGTTGGCGATCTCGTGGTGTCGAAAGGATACCGAGATCGTGCCAAAGGAGTACAAGCGTGGTTATCGAGCGTAACCGAACTCGTGCAAGGTCGCAATCAATGGAGTAGTAATATGGCTGTCTTTAGCACAGTTAAACAGACGAGCACAGTAAAACAATCACGGGTACAATTGGTTATAATAATAATTGTTTCAATTAAATCAATCGCGTTCTCTTGGTAAAAGTAGGTCACTACAAATGGATCCCAAAAATTACTATTCATTATTCTTATCGGGATAAAACAGCATATGAATATTTTATTTTATTAGATAAGAAAAGTATTTTTTAGCTAGTAGTATTACTGTTGCTCGGAAAGATCGTACTACTAATGCATACTTCCTAAACTGTTATAAATTGAATAATATGTTGAACAAAATCTTACAGTGAAATAAAACGAACTTCATATTGAACAAAATTCACATTAATCTGAAAAGTAGTCTTGCGTTTATATCCCGTCCTAACGAAACCCAATAATCACGAAGTCTTGGAATAAAAGAATATATGTACATTAATGCGTATATTTACGAAGTATATACTTGTTAAGTGGTTGGATACAGTCGTTAGGATATCCTAGACCTGGATTTCTTGCTTTTCGGCACTCTTCAGCAAGGTGTGTCTGCGATCTTGATGGAATTAATACTCTCTTGATGATTCAATCACATGTCACTCAACTTCATGATCTGAGATGTTACTACTGAGTCATTTGGACTGCGACTGACCTCCAGTGGGACTAAAATAGTTACAACTGATTGATCATTGAGTACTGATCACTACAACGACTAAATAAACATCACATTTATTAATACTCAGCGACCAATCAATTGAAAGCACATTTGTTTAAAATTTTAGTGTACCAACTTGGTGTACTCACTAGTAAAGGGAGTTTTAGTACCTTTTTCCTATACAAAAAGTTATATCAAACTGTTCTCTTTCCACATAAATTTTAAATGATATTTACAAAGGGCAACAAATATTGGAAACAAAATGACAAAACATAAATATCCAATTTCTAATGGATTTATTATTTAACTATTGTTAAATTTAAAATCAATTGTATAAAATCAAAGATCAAGATTTGTGTTGTTTGACTTTTAATTATTAGTTTCTGGCACAATATAGTCTTCCAATTGCACAGTCCTTACTAGTCAATTATTGTTAGTTGATATTTGATAAATGGATAAAGTAAATGATCCAGTCAGCGATTAATTTGTTTCTGATCTGTGTTTTACCTTGTTCCAGAATTCAGTAACAGCAAAGAATGATAAATTCATGGATAAGTTTTCCAATGATTACGTTCATATAAATGAGCATTTTTCAGTTCCATTTGATGGCATAGAATTGTCTAATGATAATAATAATAATAATCCAATTCATTATATAAACTATGGAATTGAAACATTTACATCGCCCACATGCTTTGCTTATACCATGCATTTGTTTACTTTGATCACTGCAATTCTTGACCAACCAATAATTTATCCTAGAGATTTTGTTGAAATTTATCCCAAGTTAAAACTGTTGGATATTTCCACTCGTGATATTTCTCAATCAGATCGTTGGTAAGTATTAACTTTATTTTTATTACAAATTTTTAGTATTTGAACAATGTAGTATTAAGGAATTATTTTAGAATAAATATAGGACTTGTTAAGTATGGGACCAATTGTACTTTCAATAAGTAAATGTTATTTCGAGAAGTTAGGTGGTTGAAGATAGTCGACAGGAAACCATCTAACTAGGTTTCCTGATAGTTGGTGCTCGTCAACATGGTAGATCTCCAATCGCGAAAGAACTGATGCCTCCTTCAGTGTCCAAACAAGTGTCACCCAACTTGATCGTTCGAAACGTTGCCACTAAGCTATTTGGGTTGCAACTACTCCATTGTAGAACTCAAATACTAACAATTGATTGGTGACTAGTATCATGTTTGTCTTGTCCTTTTATTACTGATTACACACAGCATAAGATTAGTTCGAGAGTGATCTCCATCATGACGCAACATTATTGAGGAAACCATGATAAACAATTGAGCACTGGATAGTCGCTTCATCATAGTTTCAAAGGAAAATCTTATCTAAAGCAATTGGTCCCTTTTGTAAATTTCGATAGAACAATGAGAAGACGGAGTTGATCTGAGAAAGGCGATGTATTTGCACTATACATTTCGAACAATCTGGTCACACAGATACTTGTCAAGGCATATTAATAATAATATAAAATGCTCTGACAAGTATATGTGTGACTAGATTGTTCGAAATGTAGATTGCAAATACATCGCCTTTCTCAGATCAACTCCATCTTCTCATTGTTCTATCGAAAAACTTATCATTGTGTACTTTCTATGGTACACGCGCGAGTCAACCAGGTTAAGAGTAAGGCGACAATCTACCGATGAAATTGGATAAAGTTTGGGCTTTCTCGCTTTAGGATTGACTTAAAGTGGTTATGTAGGCCATTGGATTTCGACCTAGTTACTCAATGGCATCGTGTTTACAGAGCGATAAGGAACTAGTGATCGAGTTTTCTGTCAAATCCTTCATAGAATTATGTGGAAGTAACATTTATTCTTGCTCTATTACTTTCGTAATGTCGATTAATACTGTTTGCCTATGTACAGAGTTAAACTTCGTAGATTTAATTAAGATATGGAACAACCACGTACACTCACTATTGTATTTAAATATTCCCTTGTAATCTCATCTTGCTTTTTACAGCCAAGCAATTTGCATACTAAAGCGTAACATCATGTCTTTGGGTTCAAGATTTAATTTATATCTGACGCCAGAAAAGCATGCGTTGTATAACTTGAAATATTTATTTGATCATTTTCAGAACAGTAAGTGAAGTTAATGTGACGTAACTGTTCTCAATTTTTATTTAATCGAAAATATTACGGTTAATTTCGTTTGGTGTTTCCGACCAAACGACTAAGTGATGTGTCGAAATCCCGGAACGAAAACAGTAGCTTTTTGTAAAATACGGTAGTATTAATAATGACAATATAAGAAATATATTTACAAACCTCAGTACATGAGGTTTCTATGGTGCTTACCGCGTGCATATGCATTCAGAGATGAAGAGGTTCTTGGAATAGCTGTATGGGGATTATTTACCAAAATATACGATAATCTACTTGATAGCCAGTAGTTTTGTCAATACCACAGTGCAACCAACAATCGAAACGAGTACTAATAACACAAAATACTAAAACTATCATGCCGTAACAAATTTTTGATGACTAAACAAGAGATCGAAGTAACTGTCACAATTGTAACAATAAGTTGACTGAAAGTCACAAGTTTATGTAACATATCCATAAATTCAACTCAACAACGAAGGGATATTATGCTTCTTATGTACAAAATTGATTGAAAATGCCATTAGCTTCTGAATATTAGTGAGTAACATGATGTGCTACACAAAACGAACCGGATGAGAAGGAAATAGAGGTAAAAGATGCAAGTGGAATTGACAATTAAAATGCAATGTAACCTGCTTTTACTCGTACACTCTCAAGCCACTGTCTTCTGCCATAACGACTATGTTGATTGCCACTATTACTAATTATAACCGAGGTGACCGGACAATTGACTTATCATCAAATTTACACCGCATAAGTTTTGAAATAATATTACCGAGCGATCATGTAAATGCATATTGGGGAGTTCAAACTATTATTATTGTGATCGACAATTAAATAAAACGACATGAAACTGATGGTCACTAGGCAATCAGTCAGACTCCATTCCTGTACCGTATAACATCATCTTTAATATTAGTGAATTAAATGTTCACGATTGTATAAGAGTTTTAGAGAACATTGAAAATTCTAATTTTTTGTCATGAACCGACTTCAGTTGGATGACCAGGAAGCAATTGGAAGGTATTTCGTTCGGGTAAGGGACTCGCCAGTAGTTTGTATCCGCGATCCCTCAGGGGTGCGAACCCGTGATCGTCAAGGTTAGCAGCGATCGCTTAATGTTCAAACCACTGAGTTTCTACTTCGTAATTTACATCCATATTTTGAGATATTGCATGGCCATCACCCATTCTCACTGGTGATATCTGTCTCACACCCGATATAGTTGTGAGTGGGGTGGGAGATAAGATAGATACGGTCGATGAGTCCCACAATAGGACAAAATAGTTGTTCCTTGTTTTCATTGGTTGTTTAGATAAAGCCAGTCCTTGGTATAAATCTGCAAATATCTATACGAATTTGCGCATAACTCAAAGCAAAAATAATCCATCTGTTACCACTTGATCAGCGTCGTTATTTCCTGGTGTGTATGTGTATTTGGATTGCGAAAATGCGTAGTGTTTTTGATTTAGTAGAGTAGTTAAGAACATCCATGACTTAACTTAATATTACTCATCTGAAAATAAATGACCATAAACAATCGAGGAATAAAGTTATATAGTTCGTAAGCCCTGAAATACTCTCAGCTCATTTGTGTATTATAAATTTCAGCAGTCAGTTTGTATCCTGTTGTTATAGTCATAATTAGCGTAAATATAGATATTATTGACGTTATGACAATTGAAACAAAATGGTAGATGTTAACTATCGATTAAAGTCACGTTTTTCCATCAGTGTTTCATGTGAAACACATATTCTCAAGAGATTTGTACAAGATTGTAAATACTACTGTTTGTCTATTGAAAGACACCACCAATTCATATTGTGAGATTCGATATAAATCTTAGAAATCTAACCGCGGACGGTATGTACAGAAGTCCAGCAGCATTAACTATTTTCCAGAAGTGGAAAAATTTTACTTAATTTGGTGCTTATTGTTTTTTAATCTGATCTGATGATGATTACAAAACTCTCATTACTGTTTGAGGAACTCCTAAGCTTGCCAATTTCGTGATATCTTCTAACTTAGTATCCACGTGATCTAATCACCTATACACATTGTTTCAGATATATATTTAACCAAGGAATATTAAAATGTTTGAAATTCAAAATCATGTGCTAGTCACCACAATCAAGACACATTTAACACATGAAATATACCTGGTTTACTAATCTTAGTATATTGCTGAATCAACATAGATTTAAACAATATTTAATATAAACAATAAACCGTTACTTTGATTAGAATTTACAATTAAATCAATGACTTAAAGGTTAAATAATCTAACTTCTAATCATTAAAAGCCATGGGTTTGAATGACTCTTCTCAGCCTACTATGGTTTAAGTAGTCAGTTAGTAAGTGTTGCTACCCTGTTGTATGTGTGAACACATGCACAAATTGTAGCTTATAATAAAGTACATAGAACATATTCTTGGTAAAGTGAATTAATAATGATAATTATTTTATACTAGATAAAATTCAATCTTCATCAAAATACTTCTTTTTTCTGTCTTTTTTTCAGATTTATTAACAAACATATACCAACATGATATTGTCGGGTTTGTATAGTTGTTTTGTTTTTCTTCAAATAAAATACAATGTGGACTTCTTTTGAATGACTGGTCATAACAACAATTTGATTATGGATTGATTGATTATGAATATGATGATTATCTCATTTTATCTCAATATATTTTGCACTTGTTAAAATGCATTAAATAACGCAGATAATTAGTGACACTGTGTGTGTGTGTTCTAACATGTAAATTATAAGAGCAATTAATGTGCATAAAAATAGTTTTATCTAATTAAAAAGTACATAATATTTATACTTAACAAATCAATAATTAAGACTTGTGTTTACTCTGTAAATATAAGTACACATAGTTAGTTTGTTTTCTTTTTTTACACAATGAAAAGGCGAGGTCATTGGAGCATGCAGATAAAATAATATGTACTTCAATTTATTATTAATACGTCCAAGAATAACTAAGAAAATTATTCTCTGAAATACAAAAAGAATTACTCAAACAAAAAAATAACCTATGGATAATAGGTATATTTCTTGTGAATATCCCAATGAGTAGAGAATTGTATTTTCGACGTTTCGTGACCTAATGTAAGCCACTTCTTCACAGTAAATAAATAACCGAAATGCAATTAACACAAGTTTAAACAGTAAATGGGGTTATTTCTTTTGTATTATTTAAAGTTGTGTTAATCTTTTTTCGGTCGGTTATTTACTCTGAAGAAGTGGATTAATATTGAGTCACGAAACGTCGGAAATACAGTTTTCTACTCATTTGGAAATAACAAAAAACATATTTATTACTAACTTTCTGCTCAATGCTGTATTTACTTGAAACTATCAAGTCCAACCTTGACATTGACATCTAAACAACAACCTGTGGTTTTGAACCCTTTAGAAATGTCGCCTTATTTGAATTAAGTGCTGCTGATAAGTGAAGTCCAGGGAACGTAATAGCCCAATTTAACCATAATTGTGCATTGATAACTTCTATTGACCTCATCAGCAGAAGTGGTTGTCATGTCTGACAGCACCTCAAGCCAGAGTTGTATCACATCAGGAATCCCAACCAGGAATTTGTGAATGGATCAGCAGATGCCAGTCTTATACATCTTTCTTTCATAGCCGGGCTCCATATACGCTTTTCTAATAGGTCTCAGCCTCAGCAAATAAAGCACAATATGGAAATAGCTGAGACAGCATTTGTAGCACATGTCCGAGTTATCGGAACCTTTTCCTCCACATGGTGACTCCGACTGAATTATGTAACCGGGTACCCAGTTAGACTTCGTCGAACCTCCGCATCACCGACATGGTATTGCTACTGAGTGTCAGCAATCCATCAGACAACTATGACCGCATACAGAGTTATCTGATACCAACTCGGAGGGGTCAGGCTTAAAAATCATACATCGAGACTGATCCCATCGATGTTTTGAACCCGACATTTTACAACCAGACTAACATCATGAAGGCGCCGGTGCCATAGGTTGACACAAACTGATCTGATATTCAATATACACAGGTCGACCTTATCAGCCATGTCACCGTCGGCACTAATTCACCCACCATCCAGAGACACGAGTGTTCCGACTAATAACAGATCACAAATAGTGCGCAGTATCATGTTCCCAGGCATTTGGTTGCTCGGACTGCAATGCTGTCGAATCCAAGCAGTCATTCAGAAACAACAATAAATGGACATGGCTGTCGAAAATCTTCAATTTGGCGACTGCGCTGACTCCACAACTGTGCTGTAAATTAATACAACCTGAACATTTGCCGTCCGGAAGTCGGTTTCGTGTCATATCACCATTCCCAAAACTAACACCTGTGTAGACACAGGCTTTTGTCTTCTTCGTAATAACGATAACAACCACTTTGATAGTACAAAGATCGTATCATGTTCACGGCCTCAAATCGGACAATATTTGGGTAGCCTGCCCTTCAACGCACAGTTAGACGGTGGAGTTCTTAGTGATATTCAAAATTCATTTCTCTTGGTGTAATCAACGTCTTTTGATATGCGGTTAAATAAAAGTAGCAAAATAAAGTTTCAGACCAATTGTTAGGACGGATATCCGCATCTAACATTACAAACGGAAGTATATCTCTCAGATACTTTGCACGAACCCTTAGATTGTTAGGCCAGTTTAAAGACCCATTCAGAAAAAGAGCTTAAACTAAGATCAGATGGGTAGATTGACTGGACTACTTTGTCATACCACAGGGCTGATATTTCTTATTAATAATAGGCGCTTACAAGAAAACAACGCAAACATGCACCGGCTTCTTTAACAGCCCAACCGCTATTGTTTACTTGTGAAATAGAATTGCTTGGTAAGTGCGATGAGAAGTATTTCAGTTAACTCGTAAGTAAGTCCAGTGAAGTAGAAGTCATTCAATTATAGATAACACATTTATTCTGAGAAGTAGTTTCAATGAAAAATATGAGCAAGGTAAACAAAATTCTGCAATCAGGTGCACACAAAACTGATTTCATCAAATGGCAATCAGTGAACATTTGAGATTGCCATCGTCATACAGCGAGAATTTGTTCAAAGCTCAAAAGTTCCATTGATCACTTCTTTTCCAAAAGCTCCATGATATCTCCTACAATATCCTACAAGAAATTAAAAGTTTGGTCAGAAATCCTAAAACTAAAAGGTGATTACTTATCGATAAAACTGTGACAGTTTCATGAATTTTGTCACTATTAGACATTAAGCATCATACTTGGGACTAACCACCTAATACGGTAGACGGTCAAAATCAAGGAATTGTTTGGTATGGACATACACTAGTTCAATTTCCCACACTCCATATCAGTATTACAAACTACAGAATCAACGCTATGTGAAGTACATTAAAAATGTATTACAAATAGAAAAAGTGAGATCGGAGAAAGATCATTTACGGATGCCAGACAAGCAGGGGGTTACTCCACGTAATCATAGCTTGCGATTATCTCGCCAATATCAATCAGTAAGTCTGCCCCAACAGACGCAGGGCAGGTAAATGAAGAGAAAAAAATCACTTGTAATAAGTTAGATCTACAATATATATGAATTACGTAGTGTGAGGAAATTAGATATTCTTAGCCCTTGAACCCTGCAGTAGTCGAGGATTCCACTATTGCTTGACACAAACTGTGCTTGGATTGATATATGGTTCAATAACCGCTACACATCCAAGTGCTAAACGCGCTAACCGGTGTCACTAAACCAGGAAACGGAAAGATGAAGACTGCCATACAGAAGTTTTGTACGCTCCCACGCAAACCGTAATTATCATACCTAGTGCTTGTAGTACACTGATGTACAACTGATTGCAGGCTTGCGGACTATTACAAGGTGATATACAAGTTTTCTGAGAAAAATCAAACTTTAGAAGAACTAGTTGTATAGACGTAGCAGTTAACTAACTTCAGTCCAAACAGTCACGAGTGTGGACGTCTATTAACCCAATAGTGTTATTGACGAAAATGACTGTCACATTGGAGACCAAGACATACAAAACCGAAATGACAATATTGTGAAGTAAGGTTACTCGGTAAAGACACGAAGGTTCGTTCCGGAAGTTCTAGTTTCTTCGGTACAGATAACTATTTCATAACTTCAGAACTCAGTCGGAAAATCGTTTGGTCTATGACGTCATATAGTACAATGTAAGATAGTTAACTTAAACTCGAATTTCATTTATGAAGTTTGACATGACCAATAACTGAAGTAACTAAGCAGCGATGGACTATATTTCACGTACCATAAAACTAACAAGCAACTAAAGTTGGTGTTTCATTTTGTCATTCATGACAATTAACCGGTAACTTTATCAACATGTACCAGCTGTGAGGTAATATGCTGTGTCCAGATTGGTTTCTTTGACGTATAACCACTATTGAGGTGAGACTAGTTTGGAAACGAATTGATGAAATCATCTAAACAACTAATGTTCAGCGAGGTCACTAACCTGCTAAATATTCAAATGAGTAAAATTTCTTAATGGCAGCTTCAAATCCACAGGAACTATAGGTTACGGGAGGAAGTTAACGCACCCATTAAGTGACTGAAAGTTACATACTTAAGAAACAACACAACAAAATACTTAGACAATTAAGAAAAAATCGAAGAGTGTAGGGTGGATTGCTGATTTTGTCAATTTATCTTAAGTTACGTCTATCTATTTAGACAGTCGGAACTGATAACAAAATAGAAATATTGAAAATTCAGCAACTCACATTTGGGGCAGTTGTAGGAGAATATCTTTTAATCGGTTGGCCTTGACGATCTATAAGGAATTTAGAGAAGTTCCATTTAATATCACTACGACATTAGTAAAGAAAAAAACAATTACTTTGTTAGGGTACCATGTAGTCTACTTTTAAGAAATTTATAGAGATCATCAGCGTCAGACCCATTGACTTTTATCTTGGAAAACATATCGAATTGGACGCCATACTTTTCAGTCACAAATTTCTTAATCTCCGCTTCCCCCCACGGTTCCTGCAAATAGCATTGGTTTAAGTGTTACATACCTGTCCGCCGAATTGGTTGCAGGGGAACGCTAATATACGGAGGCCTTTGCCAACCAGTCGAGTGTGCATCTCCTGGAGTTGGCGATAGTTCTTGTCCGTTGCGCCTCACTTACAAGCGACGTTAACAATTAGACAAACGTGACCACTAAACAACGAATAATTATCATCCTATATAGAAGAAGAACATCGAACAAACCGGTATTTCTCTAAGGAGACATCCACACCATTGATATCTTTAACAGTGAATTCATATATTGAATTCCAAGACTTGTGGGATGAAGACTTAAGGAAGAAATTAGAGAGACCACAACGTACCATCACAGTACATCCAATCGTAAACAATGATTTGGGAGATTTGAATAAGGCGCGACAAAACATCGCTGAGCCGGTCTTCAAGTGTTCCAAATGATTGTGAACGGAATTGAAGAAGATTTTGACCAACGAGCCTCATTGACCTGTAGCATTGGATCACGTGAACCTTAGGCTATTACTTATATTAGAGCATAGGCCGACGACCAAAGTTCTAACACCAACTCTGTGCTGTGTTCTCCTTCCTACTTGTTTACAAGTGGTATTTGTGGCCTCAATCTTAGTCTCTGATTCTCGGTGTCATGTGCTTCGTGATCTGCCTGGTTTATTAATGCCGTGGGGATTGAGTTACTACTTGCTTTGTGATGAGTTAATGGTTTGAGCAAAATGTGACCTGTCCACATACAGAGTCTTTTCCTAACCTCGTACATTGGCAGTTGGATTGTCCTCGTCTGCGAGTTAATATCGATCGTCTCTGCTCAATGGATTTGACGTAATTTGCGTATATAGCCGTTTACAAATACCTGGGAATTTCGACGATAATTGTGGTAGGCATACAAGTTTCTGCTCCATGCATTCGAACAGATTCATCTTTGGTGGAGTTTTGTTCTCCGAGCTTGATGATTTGTTAGTGGAGCTTTCATCGTTCTTCTGAACGACATCATAGGCACAAACTTCAGGTGGAAGTTAAGTGCTCGAATTTCCTTCGGTTTGCATAGGATTGATTGTAGTGACTGTTGGTTTTTTTACCACAAATATTGCGAAGGGTTTCATCAGTCTCGTCCCCAGCATCCAATAATGTTGCTTGTTTTACGAAAGCTCACTTAGTACTCAAAAGGTTGGACGTATACTGAATCTTTGGTTCCATTTGTTGACACTTTTGGAAGCTTACTGCTGCACTGACTGTAGTATTGTGCTTCTGTGGCCCTCATACTTACTAAGATCTCTCCTCCTCAGAATCTTGATGAAGTGTCATTATCTGTCTGTCGACACCATTCTTACGGCAAGTCTTTATGGAGTGAATGTGATGGATCTTTGAAACTACACGTGTAACTAACTCTGAAGCTTTGACTGAAATGCTGTTGGATCCTCCCGTTTTTACATTCCTGGTTGGTACGATGGTCCTGCTAACTCAATTAAGTAACGTCTACAGGGAGGTTTGTGTATGCCTCTTTGGAATCCAGTGTGCTCAATATGGCTGGTCCATTCAAGAACTTTTCGAAGCGTTTTGTCCACTTGTCTCTTTTCCATTGGATCTCATCGATCGGTTCACCCCTCTTGTTCTTGACTAGCCACTCCAAAAGATTGTTTTACGAAATCCGGTCTTCTCTTCATCTTGCGCCTTTTATGGACCTTCTGAATATTTTATTCATCCAGGTGTGATGGATCTGGTGTTCCGTAGTGTAGCCTAGCGTAACCGATGGAACTCCATGGACGTATGTCTGCGAAACGCAGGAAAAGATGTTTACAGACCACGAGCGTCAAACTCCCATACGCATCATAATCCTAATGGTCGTAAAATTAAGTTCGATTCTAAAACGAAATCTAATATTACAAATATGCTACCACTGATAAACTCTCCTGAATCCCCTGAAGTTCAAAACCTAGAAGAAAACAATCCTGATGTAGGCGGTATCCATCCTCTTGAGAATGTTGACTTGTATCTAACTCTAAGTAGTTGTGCTGATAACGAATGGGATGATACAGTCCAAACCCCTGTCAGAGCAATACCCAGCTACAGTAACTGTACAACGGATAACGGGAAAACTAGTCATGACATGTATATAAGTGACCACACAATTATGTCGATATATTTGAACCTTTCAAGTAAATTTACCAACACTAGATACTCCCTAAACTACGAAGGGACTAAAATAAACCACGAACCTTGGAAATAAACATTTGGAACATGTTATCCATATGTCAGGTACAAAAAGTAATCCGGATTGTAAATGACCACTTAGTTGCGCAAATAGATCTGATTGTCTTCTTGGTCCGGCTACCAATATGTACACATTGCAGACATCAGATGTTATATTCAATAGCAATGAGAAGACTTTTTTGCAATTTCGCTGGCTCTTCTGCCGGCAACGGTAAATATATTACGAACGACAAAGTTGTTGAATCTATTTTCCCTCGCAACACAACACTTACCTTAGCTGATCCTATGACTATTCATGTAACTACCAGTTGTGATTTATACTCTAACCTGCTTCACCATGATAACTCTCGGGTTCTTAATCTTTGTTCAATGCCCGCTCTCTTTCTAACAAAATTATTCGTCTTAAAACCCTCTTATTCTTTATAAATCCAACCATTGTACTAATAACGGGAACTTGATGCAAATCATCTGTGTCCGACCACTCCTTGCATGTAGATAACTAGGTTTTCTTTCGAATCGATAGATGTCATGAAATAGGAGGCGGTACAATTATCTTTGTCCGTTCGAACATTCAGGCGTGCAAATTCGAGGATAAATTACTCGATGATTAAGACAACTCCGCCTAGGTTACTTTGAACTGTGGATCGCAAAATTATCTACTAGTGGGATATATATACAGACCACCTCATGATGATACTTTGATAAACTACTGAAAAACATATTTTCCACTGCTTCGCGCCAACCGCATACGTTTAAAATCATCGGAGGTGATTTTAATCCACCGAAAATTACATAGGGTTCGACAGGTTAGTTGAAACACTAGAACTTTGTGAATGGGTCCAACAAGTCGGAAAACCGTCTAGGAGGAATATTATATATATCATTTAACCCCAACAAGTGCGGAATCTTGCACTTTGGAAAACACCCCTATAATCTGCAACTTCACTTAAATAAAAGTAGAGTCCAAACACTGAAATCAGTACACGATCTAGGAATTAATTACACAGGAAGCCTGGACTTTGAAGAACATGCCTCTTCTATCATCTCTTAATCTAGACGGCTAATTGGTTTCATAACGAAAAATTTCTTCACAACAGAGGTTAAGCTTACTCTCTACAAAATATGTGTACGACTTACCCTTGATTACTGCTCTTTTGTCTCCTCTAACATGAATATCACAGACAAGATAAGAGTAGAAGACGTTCAAAGACGCTTCACTCGCCAACTGCCGGGATGTAACGCGAATCTCGATTACACAGATAGATGTAAGCTCCTCTCTTTAGAACCTTTATGGCGTCGTAGGCTAAGGTACAACCTAATATTTCTCTAAAAACCAATATATGGACTCTTATTTCTAACCTCCTGTCCGACTATGACCCACGACCCAGCCTACAGACTAAGGAACAACGCATATACACTACTTATCGCAAAACGCTAAAAACAACTGAGTTGTGATTTTTTTATAGTGCGATATAGTTTATTGTGGAACAGGCTGTCAATGACTATCCGTAACTGTGACCCTGTATCTAGGCTCTAAAGAGCTTCAACCTTTCCTTGAATTACCACACACCGATGAGGTACTTCATTATAGACCGTCTAATATCTAGAAAGAACAAGAATATAACGAGCCCGACGATTATTAATATGAATATAACTGAATTACAGAACATATGACTTATCCCTTCCTATTATTGATTGTTTATTAATCATGGCCTTATGTTCCTAACCCTCACTTTCAGTTCCCAAATCTCTACAGGTTAAATATACATTATTCTTCCAAAGTGTCATGCCTTTTTTCTTTCTATTGCAAGTAGACAGATAACTCACTAATCTTATGGATGCTGATCTACTAAGGCCGAACATACAAAGCTCAAAATCTGTCATATAGTCTTGTGAGTTGCTCAATGTTTTATTTTTCTTACCCTAAAAAATTTTTTTCACAATTATATACTCTTTCATATCCTTTGATGTGCTATTAGTCCTTACTTCTTTAAACCATTAGTTACCTTCATAGCAGTGTGATAAACTAAATGGACATCTAACCCATAATACAATTTCTTTGACCATCTGATTTGCTTGTAACATGGAACTAGTAGAGACAGTGTATTCCAACCATGGAATTTGATTAAAGCAGTATTCATACTTACCACAAACGTAAGAGAGCCTAACATCACAAAAGGAGGGAGGGTTGCGTTACTGATCAGCAAACATGATGGTGGGGAGATAACATCAATCCACCCATGTCTGTAGGGCAGAACAATTTGTTTAATTACGGCTCCTTATGGTTTAGTGGGATGTCATGAACCTATGGTATTGATGCTGATTTATCATACAAAACACCTCATTGAATCGTGTATAGAACGTTGGATTGTTTTCACTTCCTACCCAGTAATCCTATTACAAGCGAACGAGACAATTCACTAATATACGAAGCCTACTCAAGACCCTATGATACCTAAAAAATAATAATAATCATACAAAAAAAGATGAAAAGGGCCTCAATAGCTTCGATAAAAAAGGAAGATAGTCAACTGTATATCACAGTACTGTTTTTCGCACTATATTTTATAACCACACATAATCCCATACTCTCAGCTCCTTTCTGAATCGCCTCCATTTGCCAGTTGTATGTCCACTCATACCTTGTTTACACTTATTTTCTTTAACCTACTAAAATGCTCTTGCTCAACAAATACCTTAACAAAAGGAAATTAAACTGAGTAATCATACCTTAAACATTCCTTCATGAATATTGGCTACTCTGCCTCTCGTCCTTTCTTTTACTTGCTCCCTCTTTCAGCCCCCTTGAGATATGGAACGGGTGACTTCATCCTGCACCATCCTTAAAGCCTCAGATATTCCAAAGGGACATAAAGTTGCGATTCCTAGAAGCTCCCACCTTCAATGGATCTATCCTTGACCATCAGTTGCACATTCGCGATGCGACTTTCATGAAGCGCGCCAACTGTCATACTGACTACAACCATTTACATTTCATATCTTATAAGTTATCAACCCTGCTGAGTACTTTACTACAGTGGCTATTGTATCATTTGTAACGATTTGGTCTTGCCTGTAAACTGGCATGCCTCATGTAACAAACTGTTATTTGAGAACAAATTATTATTATTTTTTATTCAACAGAGACTCTCTCTCAGTGCACACCAGTCATGAGTTCTTTATGAGTGATCACAGAGTTGTATTGAATATTATTCATTCTTTAAACATTTTACAATTCAACTTTAAGTCTGCGGTAATGTACCAGAGCAGACATACAGACG